TATATATATATATATGCATGTATGTATGTATGTATGTATGTATGTATATCTTGTTATATTAATAAATGTATATCTTGTTGAAATACCTTTAACAAATACCTGAGGCTAGACAGAGCAACACAGAACTCTGTTTAAATATTGTAAGAGCAAATGAAAGATATTCCGTTCTAAATCAGTTAATTCCTTCCCAGGACTAGTTCAATGATGTTCAGTGCGTTCTGAGGAAGTTTTAATTATATTAATATCCAAGGCAAGTTCTTGTTCTGGGAAGGACACAAAAGAGATTTTTGCAGTTCTGAATGTTCATGTCCCTAGTTCAGTGAAAGCAACCTTAGGACAAACCATGTCTTCCCGCTGTGCAGGATTAGTACACATCTCCTTACAATAATGGAGAATGTGTTTTTAAAATAGCCTGCTGGTGGCTGGTGCGACAACTGTTATTTCATTGATCCTTTATCTGAGGCCTTTAGTAACCTCATAAACAGTGAAAGAAACAGTTTGACATCTGTTTGTTTATTTGTTAACTTTGGCATTTTCCTGTTTAAACAAACAAACAAACACGCCAACAACTGGCTGAAGGCTAAAACCTATTCTGTCAGTATTGGCAGATCCAAAAGGTTGAGCAGGCTGATTAAATTACTATATGCTTTCTTTTCATTTAACCTGTCAAGTTTTCTTTCAAGGGAAGAAATGATCCTGGCCATTTTACTATTAAACACTTAATGGAACGCTACATTCAAACGCTTCTATTTGGAGTAAAATGTCACACTTCAGTTTCTGAATATTCACTTCTTGTCGCTGTTGGGATATTTTTTATTATAACAAAATAGTGCTCCTCTTCCATTAATATCATGGACATCAATGAATTTAATTATTTTATACATCCCCAATGACAATATATAAACAATCTGTAGGCAACCTCTGGTCAATCTGGTAAAGATACAAAAGCATAACAAAATTTATTTCATGTGTATCATTTCATCTACTACCACCTTGATTCTTTCAGTGTTTCTCAGCCCCAGCAACCTTGAGAATAGTGGACTTCAACTCCCAGAATTCCCCAGCCAGCATGTTGAAGTCCACATATCTTAAAGTTGCCAAGGTTGGGAAACACTGGGTTAGACGATTTCTAGACCATTGCATCCAAGCATTGAACAGTGACATTGACAATGCAGTCCTATTCTTACTTAGAAATGTGTCATACTTTCAAAAATGTTCAAAAATTTATATTAAACAATAAGCGAGGAGTGATTACATACCATGGATATCCAAAGGGGCAAGGAAAGGCAAAAGATATGTGCAAAGCAACATCATTCTGGAAGTGGCACAAATGATGTAATTCACAATGGCATACTTGGCTTCCTTTACATGGTTATGTATGGTACAAGTGACATCATTACAGATGAAGTCTTAGATGACGGTGATGCCACACACCATAATTAAAACAGATGGTAGATAAAAGGAATAACTGAACAAAATAAGGAGGGCATGATCAAAGAAGCAAGAACTACAGAGGCTTCAAAAAGGTGGTTTTGTTGAGAGTATTAGGAGTAAAGTACAGAATCTTGGAAACCGTCCTCATTTATTAGCAAGTTCATTAAGGTGGTGTCTCTTTGAACATTTTGAACCTCTTCTTCCCCGGCCTTCTGCAATCCTGGACTGAACTGCTTTTTATTAAATAAGCTACGAACAACATCATTTCTTATCTGTTGGTTCCTTATTTCCAATATTCCTTCTATTACTTTCCCCGCCTCCCCACAATCTCTTACAGATGTGAATCATATATGCCATGATAATTCCTTGCAGAAAAAAAGTTATTTAGGATTCTCAAGATGTGCTAATTACTTATTCCAAAAATATAATCAAAGCTTTTGTTGATTTATTTCCTTCCCCTTTCTTTCTTTCCTAGGCTCTGTAGCCACAGCGTGTCGAGATCCAGGAGTCCCCATGAATGGAACACGCAATGGGGATGGAAGAGAACCTGGGGACACAGTCCTATTTCAATGTGACCCTGGCTATGAGTTGCAAGGAGATGAGCGAATAACCTGCATTCAGGTAGAAAATCGGTACTTCTGGCAGCCCAACCCACCAGTCTGTATAGGTATGCAGAAACCTAAAGAAGACACAACTGCTTTTCTGACTCTGGAAACATGTAATAATCCTTATTACATTGTCACAAAGCCAAAAGTCAGCAGCCAATAGCTGGCAGCTTTGTATTAAATATAAATGGAAGGACAGCGGCTTGGTTTTGGTAGGGCAATATTCTATCTTTCAAAAATAGCAGCATCTTTACAAGAGAAAGGGAAGGAGAACAGCACTTAAACCTGTTTTCTAAAAGAAAGCTTAATGAATGCTGAATATAATGAGCTTCATTCACAAGAGCCCCACAAGTTCAGTTACTACAGTTGCTTACATTGAATGTAGTTTTTCATTATTTTAACTACTTTACCTCCTAAATAGGAGATTGCTTGGGTTCTGTGGGATAAAGACTTCCTATCACCTATGATGAATAGGGGGCATAATGGAAATGTTCTGGCCCTGCTGGATTGCTTTAATGCATTGTACCTCTTGAACAGTTGAAATACATCCCCCCCCCCCC